ATTATTTTTACACATTTTTTTTTCTCATAAAGGTAAATTTAATTAAATTGTAACAATAGTACACTATCAAAGGAACAATAGTAATCCAATTCCTCGAGAAAAATAACATGTTATTATTTTTAACTTCCAAGTGTGTCAAAAGTGTGTTATCTGAGATTAGTTTCAAAGTAAACAACGTCTATGAATGTAGAGAGAGAGAGAGAGATTCACAAATTAAATAATAAACTAAATTTGAGACAATTTTAGTACACTTTCTTAAATTGTAAAAACTTCATTTAGTTAAATGAATATATAAAATTAGTCCTACCAAAGTGATTAAAAATAATTCAAATTGAATACTATTATATTTGATGTTAAAAATATAAATATAAAATCGAAAATATATTCGAAATTGTTTACCTCTCATCTGCATATATTTTTAATTCACCTATTTACTTAAAGGTTAAGAGGAGCAATGCGACTTGAAAACAAACATCGACATATAGGTATATTTGACGTTAAATTCGCAACGGAATGTTTTGCCTCAAGTTTGTAAATACAAGCAGATGATATTTCGACGATTGAAATACGATTTGTTCTTGCGTTATTCAGCCCGGTATTCATCGACAGTCATTTGACTTTGGCTTACCTGGTTGGAGACAAGTCACCGTTTTACACGTCACCGGTAAATACTGGCGAATAAATAAACGAGAGTTCGTTCTGCACGCGGGAGCTGGACGATAAGGGAATAGAAGATAAAGAGGGGACGAAACACGGATTGAGATAACGCACTCAGACTTTTATCTGGCCAATGTCCGAGGACTGAGGAATACGAACGTACAAGATTCGGCCATTCGTCAAGGCACGAGATAACGGCGGGGCTTTTGGCACTCGAGGAATGGTCTAAGGGTGCAATAACCCGAGTGCACGACGCATGTACGGGACGTTCTGGCACGAGGCAACGATCGCCCGTTGTCGCCTTCGTCCCCCGCTTTTTCGTTTATATCCGAACGGTGTGCAGCACATTCTTCACGCCTTCGTCGCGTCGATGACGTTAGAGACGTCGCGTCTCGCCCCCGTCTTCGGACCCGACTCGCTTTCTAGGATCATATATCGTCTTATTTATGCGTGAAAAATAAGAGTGACGATTTTTCTCTTTTGGCAAAACCATTGAAATGAAATCGTGCGGTGTAGGAGGGTGGACTTGAGATCGTGAAAGTTGCTCAAGACGAATTCGACGAATCTCGAAACACCATAAATGTAGCAAGCCATGAGTCTTAAGAAATTGATGAATCATAGTCGAATGTGAGAAGAATAGTCGCCTATAATTGGTCAGTTTCTTAAAACTCATTACACATTTATAGGACTAGGTTTTCATTATCTGGTTAACTTGTGACTTGGGCTTACTCTTACATTAACTGGATGATAATGTAAAAATTGTCTTAGCTACGATTAATCGCTAAGCTAAACTAATATTTTTGTAGTGCGTGATAACACTTTAAATGTTATTCTTCATTAATTTAAATGATTAACCATATAGCTACGAAAAATATAATTTTTACATTTCTTTTAAATGACATGTACTACAAAATTATCTTTTGTAGCACAAATTAGCATTAAATCATTCAAAAGATCTTTTTCTATTCTGCTCATTTGGTTCTGCGAGCTTGGCAAATGTAATCTTAATAGCGCTCAGCCTGATTAGAATAAATAGGAGTAACATCGTCTTATTTATATGCGGCAAGGTCTCGTTCCTTCGATCGAGGTCCAACGAGTGACGACGGTCGCCAATGGAAACGGGGTTCGCGATATCCGGCGACGTTACCGGGAGCCGTGCGGTCTAATCTTCTAGGTCGGTGTTTTCTTATCGGGACTTTTCTTTTTTCTTTCTTTTTTTTTTTTACGTGCCACAGCGCACGATCACGATCACCTTATCGCGGTATCGTCAATGCCAGCCGAGGCCGTGGATTTGTATCACGACTCGCGTTATTGTCTTGTTGCATGCGCGCATATACACTATCGCGATATAATCGTGCACGGTTACCGGAAGTTATCACTGGATATCATAATCGCTGCAATCCCGCGCTCGGTGAAACTTCAGACACACCGAAAACGATTAATTGAATGCTGTAATATTCTTATCCCGTGATTCTCTTAAATATATATAATATTTTAAGATGCTAATATTATTCCATGATTGATTTATGACATCTTAAGTCTGTGCTTGAGGCTGTCTTAAATGTAAGAATCGACTACGAATATCGGCCGAAGTGAGTTCTATCTCACTTCTGCCGATATTCGTAGTTGATTCGCTTTGACACTAACTGGTCGATAATGAGATATTTTTAGCCGCGTCACTGCGTAATTTTCTTTTTATATAAATAAAAAGGTCTCAGTAAAAGGAACAAAAGTGATGTAGGTCTGAAATAGACAAAAAATAGGTTATTTATGGTTAGCTTTTATTTATGTTAAATTAGACGTAATATATATATAATACAATAGATAATTATTTTTGCCTTAATTATATCTTACAGCGTTAAAATTAAATAACGTACGGATACGCTGACTATTACAATGAGATGAGAAAGTTCCGTTTCAATCTGACCGCACAAAGGATAATGTTAGAGATAAGAATCGATTTTATAACATTGCCCCATTTTCTGCATGCCGTAATATAGTTAGCCGATTTTGCTGTCTCCCTTCCCTAGAAAAAAAAAATGATAGCGCTCGGGCTCCGTGCTTCCGCTCATTGCTCGAGCGCAGCTTTTTATCACGCGCGTTTACACGCACGCGTGTTTATTTCGGTCGATTTCCGCTCCGCGGTAGCGGTTGCATCAGCAGCCTCGCGATAGCGACGTGCGTGCGAACCGGGTCGCGGTGGACTTTGATTGTCAGAAATATAAGTCGCAAAGTCCGACGAAACGTCCTTCTTTTCTTTTGACACATTCAACAAGATTTTGTTTAACATTTTACAAGTTATTCTTTATATTACAATTTAATGTTACAATAAATTCACTTATTCTCACGCACCTTTTGCTGTTTATAAAGTAAACATTTAAAATATATAAAAAGTTTTTGCTCATCTTCACCCAGAGTTAATGTAGGAAAAATATGAGTAGGATGCTAGGATTAAAGTTATCTATTGAAACCTATTACAATATTGACTATGCTTTCAAAGTCCAACTTGGCCAGCGATGGAAGATTAGAGTTGATGCAATCATGCGAAGCGGACAAAAGCCCGATGGTATTATTCATGGAAAAAAATTGCATATGAAAACGCTGCAGTACATTTTTTTATATTAAAGTAACAATGATAACTTATTTTTTAAATTAAATAACATTTTGTTAAAAAAAAACTGCATAAAAAAATTCATCAATATTCCAGAGTTAAATTTATAAAAAATAAGTAAAATACAATCCGTCTTCTTTGATAGTAAAAATTTGACAAAGTTTTTATAAATATGCAAGAATTTTTTTAACTACTGTGTGTCAAAATGTAAATCAATTTATTTCTGTTAGTTTATCGTAAATAACATCTATATTAACGATATGTATTTAGTAAATAATAAAGTTGGTAAATTTATATAATAAATGATAAACTTAGTAAATATATAATCACAATAATAAATTTAATACATTTTTTAAATTGCTTAATTTTGCTTTGTTTAAATTAATGACATATGAATTGAATCAGTGATTAAAAATAATTCAAATTGGGTATAATTTTTGACATTATGAAATTAGCAGTATATACGTTATATACGTATATTGTGCAATAGATTTTTGTATGCGAGCGAGCGAGAGAGAGAGAGAGAGAGAGAGAGAGAGAGAGAGAGAGAGAGAGATGCGAATTATTAAATCGGTACAAATCGCATGTTTTTCGCAACGGCGAGCGCATTTCAAGAGGCTTCAAAATAGAGAAATGACGACTTCATGTCCGTTGCGATTTATTTAGAAAGCCGAGAGAAACCGATATATAGATCGGGATGTTATGCCGAGGCGAGGCAAAACGATCGCGACCCAATTCTGTCGACTGTTGCATATAAGTATTTTTCATCGACTGCCACACGACTGACTCCCTTCTCTCCACCTCTTCATGCCTGCTTCATGCGGTCCATCCGTCGCGCGTCGTATCGCTTTCTTCCATCATGCCGCTTTTCGAAGTGCCAAACTGTGACAGCTCTCGTTTAACACTCGCTCGAATGGGATATTTGCAAGCGACGCCGATCTTTTCGGTTCTATCGTACGGTTCTATATTGCGAGTTTCGGGCCTCTTTTCTCTGAAAATGGTTCACAGATGCGACGAGAAACTCTTTCGTGAGAGAACCGTAACGATTTTACGGAACGAATCCTTTCGTTATAATGCAGCCAGTATAATGAAACCAGTTTCTTAAATGAATTAAAATTTTACGGAGCCTTTTAAAACTGGCTTTAAACAACTTGCGTAAAAGTAAGGCATACTTTGGCAATTAACTATGAATTATTATTATATATGACAATTCTTTATTAATATATAGACAGCTCTTCATTTTATATATGTACGTATTGAAGAATCGGAAGCTAATTTTTCTAATTATAAGTAAAAATCAAACCGATAATATATCGATTGAAAGAAATAATTCTACACTCAAAGAAAGATTTTTTTTTTAATTGAATTATCGAACTTGAAATGCAATTATAAACTGAAACTGAAATATTCACACAATAGCCCAATATTATATAGATTGATCGTTAATTTAATATTTTTCCAGAAAACTTCCAAAGAGAAAATAATATTTAATTTCTATTAAAGTATGTTGCCTGTGATGTATTATTAAATATCTAGCATATGGTTAAAGATTCAATCTATGTGATAATTGAAATATAATTGTCAATGATTCTTAGATAAGTACATTTCCTAAAGTTCTACGATATTTCTACGATAAATAGTTTTAGCGTATATTTTAAATAACAAGATATTATCTATAACTGCATTTATCAAACAAACATGCTAACCATCCTCGTCGATATTCTTGTTCCAGGCAGCTGCGCGAAGGAACGCTCGCGGAAAACGGCCTACAGAACGACAGTCGGCTAACGTTGCTGCCGAGCGTGGAAACCGGATTGTTGGTAAGTTTAAAGTTGAACTCTCGTGTCCTGCACTCGCATGTGATGGATACTAATCAAGTGGTCTTACGGCGCCCAGTGCCGTAATGAGTAGTTATCAGTATGATTTTTATCTTCGTCGTCGCGAAAACGCATCACTAATTCGCGTGAAAGGTCCGATAAATTCCGTCTACTCTTTCCCTTTTGATAACAAGGAAAAATATTTTCTGTGTGGTTACTAGGAATTATACAATATAAAATTCATGTGATATTATTAAACATTCCAGGCCAAAAATTTGGAAACATTAAAAAAATTGACATTTTGGAATTATTTATTCAAATAATGTTTTTTTAACAATAATTCTTTAGATCCAACATAATGTATTGGATTTGAAAAATTATTAAAAAACATTGATACGGATACTTGAATGAATAATCCCACACGAAAGAACGGTTTTGCCAAAGTACCTAAAAAATTTAATTACGGATGAAAATAATTTTGTTGGACTATAAAAATAATTACAGGATGCTTAAACTGGTTGCGAAAATGCTAAAACTCTCTTTTTGCAATATTACTCGTGCTTGAATTTTCAACATAATTATTTTTAATGGTTGAATAATGTTATTTTCATATCTATATTTACTTAAATTTTTATAAACAGCAAAATCGTTTTTTTCTTTTTGTAAAAGTCTATTTGAAAGTATATTTCCAAACCTTTGACTTGAAATGTGTAATGTACAAAATAGAAATACGATAAACTTATTTCTCAAATTTTGTTGCGAATCAGATTTATTCGATAGAAATGAAAACAGGTTCGGGTTCAGGCTTCCATCTGCCGCCTCGACAAGTGGAGTTTCCAGCTGGTGTTCGCGCACGACCGACGGAATACGCCGCCGTCTGGTTTTTCCGTCGCGACCGCGATCGCAACCCGGATTCTCGCGCACTTGGCACACCGGGTCCCCCGTCCTGGAACGGTTCCTCGCTCGTTCCGCCGCGCCGGCGTGGAGGACACCGCGGTGACTCGGGCAACGAGGAGAGCGTACACGGAGGCGCGGACAAACGCCGTTAACTCTCCGGCGTTCGCGTGTATATCGCCGGGTCACTTGGTTTCTCGGTCATATCGTCTCCAACACCTTTATCCCTCGATAACAGGCGGATCCGACTTGCTATCGCGATCGACGTGCACCTTGGCCCTTGGCCCTTTGCATGTCAAAACAGAGATCTTGCCGACCTTTAAATATTTCGTTTTTTACTTCGACGCTATTTAGCGGAAATTTAACGCTATCGTAACTGACTTACGAGTCGCGATTATTATACTAAAGTTTGAAAAATATGCCATAAATTATGTTATTTTCGTATACGCTAAGCTCATAAAATTATTTGTACCTTATACTACATATAATTGTATGATATAAAAAATATGAGTGTAGATTACACGTCATCATGGTTTATAAAACTTATTATTAAATGTATCTATATTTTAAAAAATGTATATTATATATTATTATTATTTACGGTGCTGTAATTCATCTTTTAATTGTATTTTTATCTATTTAAAAATCCTTTTCTAGAATTTTTTTAAGTATAGACGCAAAGTGCAGTCAACAATTTTGTGTGCAAAACGTTAAAGAATTTAAAAAAAATATTTTTATTATCGCTATTACGATTGAATTGTGACAATATTTATATAAAGATATTGAAAACTTTAGACTTTGTACGTAAGACTTTAGACACTTTGTATATATAAATAAACACGACAACCCAGAGCATTTTAAAATTAATGTAAATTAATTTAATTTCTTTTATCATTAATACCTAACTGAATTTACTTTCTGTAGTACGGTATAAATTTCGTCCTTATGGAATTATTTCGTCACACTTGTGCATGGGACATCTGGTCGCGGAACGATCTGCTTCAGAAATCGGAGCGCGTAAACATATGACGCCCAAGCCATATGACTTCGGGCGACTGTAATGTTTCGTAAGGTTATTCGGCCAAAGTAATATAATGTAACGTAACTCTAACTTAACCCTAACTGGCCGCAACACGACGTATACAGGTGCTGTTCCGCGTGTAGAACGCCAGCCTTTGGGAAACAAGTAGGTGTAGCAACGTCACGGAAACGACTCTCCCCTCTCACTGTGCGTTTCCGCTTAAGAATCGCGGAGGATATTGTAGAACCGGGAAACACACAAAACAAAACGAAGCTGAACGTAACGCTCGGAACTTCCTCGATCGTTCGTGAAATCTGAGGAATAGATGCCTGTAAAGTCCATCTTATAATTGCGTAAAAGTGTACTTGTAGGTAGTTGTAAGAATTTATTAATCACAGTCGAATATGAAGGAGAATATTTGAATGAAATAAATTTTTAAAAAATTGAAACAAGTAATTATTATTTGCGTACAGTGGATTTTTTTGTGTGTACGCTTATGCAGTTACAAAATAGGTTTTACATAGCGCTTTTTAATCTTTCTCCATTTACGGCACATTAAATAACGAGTCAAATTTCTCGGGATACATTAATTAAGTGCACACGCTTCAGCGCCCAACATGAATCTGACTAGATACCGCTAACAAGAAAATAAAAAGTAAAAAGTTTCAAAAATGTATTTATAACTGAAAAGTAAAATTCTGAAGATTCTATTTATTAGTTATCGTTTTAAAAATAGTTTGGTTACTTTAGTTACAATGCTGATATCGTTGATTATAATGCGGGTAAACAATATAATTGAGATAATTTTTATGATTTTCGAAATATTTTTTATTTCGCGCCACACTTCGGTCCTTCCTAAATTATTTTGCTTCTTTTACCTTCTCCAAAATTTTTGCGGCACATTTGGCAAACCTTGCTACAAAGCATCCTTTGCTTTGTCAGGCGATGCTACTGATTTGACTATTGACTATTTGGAATAATTGGAATCACTTATTTGCTTCAAGACTAATAATGATAACAAATTAACGCGTGTATTCAAGATTGGTTTGTGATAAGTTCGACAAATTACAAAGAATACGAATGAAAAAGATGAGAGAGAGAGAGAGAAAGAGAGAGGAATTCTTGAACCTCGACAACATCTCGTTTGCGAACAAACTCTCAGTTACGGGCGTTTCTAAGCCTTTCCGGGGGTTAACGGGTTGAAGGCATTAGGGGAAGGGACCTGAACAGGCTTTCTCTCTTTCCTCCCGAGTCTGAAATTGACTCCGACCCGGGCTAGCAACAGCGCGCGCGCGTTCCCCGGGTCCTTATCGCGCAACCGAGACTTGTTCGCATGGCTGTCAAGGGGTCCGGCCCGCTCGGCTCGGCTCTGCTCGGCTCTCTCGGTCACCCGCAGTCAATTTTAAAGTCGGCCTCTGTGTTGGCTCGATCCCTACGTGCCAACCGAGACTGTATGCGTTGCGTGCGCGTCTCCCTTTCTCTCTTCTGCGCGCCCTCGCCTTCAGCCTCCTTCCCTCTCTCCGTCTCTCTAGCCGCGATCAGGCCTACAGGGCGTCGCGGAAAAAAGACACGTCTCGGTGCGTTCCGTAATTATTTCCTGTACGTTTACACGACGGTTGTACTCGTGAATATTCGTCACAAATTAGATTCTCGACTAGATACATTTTTACGGTTAACACCCGTTAAACATTTTTGACAGATGGAATTATTCTGTGCGTTTCCCCAGCTAGGCGTATTTTTTACTTTTTTTTTTTTTTAAATAACGGTACTCATTCAGCTGAACTTAATTATGTTATAAACCAGGGTTGCCATAAAAAGTCAGGGAATTTTGCAAAACCTTCTTATAGAAAATTAAAATTCTTGTCTTAAAAAAAAATGTAATTGCGTACATCACGTCTACGCACATTTGGAGTACTAACTTAACATTTAAATGCAAATATAATGTCAGTAACATTAATAATAATTTAAACTGCTACATTATACTCTTAACAAAATATTGAAAGTATTTGAGAAAATTGTGAAATTTTATTTGGAAATTAGGGAAAAGTTATGAAGTTTGAGGATAAGGAATTTATGACAACTTTGTAAATATATTTACGAGAATATATTTTATATTTTGCAGCATCGCAAATGAATCTGGATTATCCTTTCTTTTTTTTGAAACATCACGTCGCCCGACAATCTTTGTCAAGGAAAAATTCGACAATTTTCCGTAAGCGTTTGTGAGTTGCTCTTCGGTACACCCTGTAGATAATACTAGTGGGTGGTTTTACGGGGCAGGGGGACGAGACGAGACCTACGGGCCGGGTTCACACAGCTCGGCTGCGAGAGCGAGCGCCTCGCGATCGAAGAGCAGCGTTTCGTAGCGCGATTTATCTCTGCGCCTTCCTTTTTTCCTCGTCCGAGCGCTCGCCCGACGACCTGCCGAGTGAGAGAGAAAGAGAGAGAGAAAGAGAGAACCCGGTCGGCTTTTCGGACTTCGTCCGGCGACCGGCTCTCGCTTGGCTCGCGAAATCACCGTTAGATGTTGGCAAAATGGCAGAATCCATCTTCTGAAGTTCGATTAATTTTGGTGCTCCTGGACCAGTTCCGACTCGACATTTTTTACGCACTCGTGGTATTTCCTAGTCATTCGTTATGAATGCTTCAGCCTTGATCCTCCGAATATATTTCTATCGGATTCTATATCGATATAATTGAACTGATGAAATTCTCATGGTAGACTCGCGATTAAAGATGTACCACGCTCAGAAAGAAAAGATTTGATAAAACAATTAAAAGCTTCACTGATTTAGCAAATCTACAGTCGTGATATACAGTCAGTTTTCTCTGTGAAAGTATCAGCGAGTTGTACGACTGTGAATAAAATTAACGATTCTTGACGATCACATTTGTTGCAATAGCATGGCAAAAGTAACTTTCTATGAAAATCGATCCAATATATAGATTAAAATTTTTAACAAAACACGCTTGCTAAAATGGCGCGTACTTTTGTTGCTGTAATTAAGAAAACTTGTTACATCAGCAATTTTTATTGTAGTGAAGAATTAGTTGAATTAGCATATACTCATGATTACTTACAGACATA